ATCTCGTTTAGCCATCTGGCAGGGAGTTACTACCACTCACGATGTCTGCTGTAGCACCTCAGCTCCACATGATCGATGTGTAAACATTAAATTGGTATTCTGTATGTTCCTTCACCTTTCTCTAATGAAACATTTGACACAATATTATGTAATAAGTCGTGTTTTGTATCAATGTATATTTTGGCCTTGAGACTTATAAACTTTTTCAATAAAACCATTTATTATTATTATTATTATTATTATTATTATTAATATTACTATTATTATTATTATTTATTACACACACATACAAACACAAATAAATATAACCCCCCTACTCAGGAAAACTAAAACTCTCAGTAAAACAAAACACATAATTAATTAGTAGATTTAATAATAGACATTTAAACATACAATTAATTGTAGAGCAAAGTATTCAACCCAAACGTTTGCGACATTTCTTTGCAAGAACTGTTTCACAACTTTGATTTGGAAGTCCATTCTTCCAGATATCGTACATGAGAAAAAGCCAGTTCAATGCTGCTGTCATTGCGCCGAATCTGATTCTCTGTTAGTTTGATCTTGAAAAAGGCGTTCATACAGTTGGTCACCATCATTCAGACACTCGGTGCAATTTCAACATTAGAAAACACAGTTTCAAGTTATCGAAACCGATTTACCATGCACCAGGAGAGTCCACATTCTTCACAGTGGACCATATGGTGCCAGTCATCATTTGTAAAATTCCAGCAATAAATTGCTATTTGGACAAATAACGATGAATTTTATAGGCTAAATAAAAAAATCATACTTCACCCCATATATCAATAAATTCACGCATAAATTATATCCGGTTCAGGGGACGCAGGAATTACATAAATTTAGAAAGAAATAAAATGAACCCACGTAGCGGTATATATATATAATATATATATATATATATATATATATATATATATATATATATATATATATATATATATATATATATATATATATATATATATATATATATATATATATATATATGTATGTATGTATCTTTGATAAAATCAACGGAAAATGAAACATGAGTACCTTAGCTTTCGTCTTTGTTGAGTTGCCTCTGAGATGTCCTGGAAAGGCAGCTTCAAATAATTATCAAGATTATCTAGATTTTCATTTGTGAATTTACATGAAATATGTATATATATATATATATATATATATATATATATATATATATATGTATATATATATATATATATATATATATATATATATATATATATATATATATATATATATACATATACATACATACATACACACATACATACATACATACATATATATATATATATATATATATATATATATATATATATATATATATATATATATATATATATATATATATATATACTGATAACCACAAGAAAAACACGATTCAAATTCTTTACATATAATTCACATCTTCAGGGGTGAAAGTACACTACAGAGTAATACAAATCAAGTGTATATATACAGGGGAGGTGAGACCAGGTCCTGGTGGTGTAGAGTAGCAAGCCCTACTAATCTTTAAATAGCACCGGCGGTAGGTAAAGATGGTCAGGCCACGATCACAAAACTCTTAATTACAAATTGTCCAAAGCTTGTACATGCAAACCAAAAAAAAACAAAAATATATATATATATATATATATATATATATATATATATATATATATATATATATATATATATATATATATATATATATATATATATATATATATATATATATATATATATATATATATATATATATATATATATATATATATATATATATATATATATATATATATATATATATATAATATATATATAAATATAACAAATTGGTTCATTTTATTCATTCGACATAGATTAATCCGCTCCAGGCCCCCAAACACAACCACTTAACACCGAAAAAAATTCTGTGAAAATGTAAAAATCTGAACTATCTTACCTTAGTGTTATTCAGGAGCCCAAAAACTGGGCACAGCACCATCAAACAATTGTTTGGCTTCACAAATTATAGCTTCATAATTTACCACTGCCATTTTCTCCTTACTCCACACTAAGAGTAAATTTTCCATGTCTTCAATCACATTACACCTTGCTTTGCTAAGCCCAGATTCCCTTCAGCCACTTGCACTGTTTTTTACTCCCTTTATTCTTTCAAAATGCAATACATATAGTCGATTTAGCCATCCCATGTTCATCACTAAGTTTGCAATGCTTCTTCCATTCTCCGTCTTTTATAATTTCTTTCTTAGTTTCAAGGGTTATTAGCTTTCTCATCGCTTTGAATGATTAAGTTGTTACAATTGTATACTTGTACAACAAAATAGTAATACAAATAAGCCAATCCCCACATTAAAAGACAATTTCAACAATAATAACAGTGGTGCACTGGCTCAATAGGAAAAGATGGCCGCTGGCCTTGTTGTGGATGTGATGCAACAATATTCATCACCCAGGCGAAATAGTCCCATATTCATCAGCGTTAAAGTTGTAGGGTTCGCGTTCATTATAAAATTCTAAATTTTATAAATTAAAACATAAGTACGTTATAGGAATATTACATAGATAGGATCCGTTAGATATACATACCCCTGTATATATATATATATATATATATATATATATATATATATATATATATATATATATATATATATATATATATATATATATATATATATATATATATATATATATATATATATATATATATATATATATATATATATATATATATATATATATATATATATATATATATATATATATATATATATATATATATTTCAAGTAAATGGAAAATTTTATAAACACAGACATTAGTTCCAGTTACTGTAAATAGCAGACGCTTCCAGTGGCTAGTCACTAGATGTTTACACTACAGGGGTAACATTTGATGACATTACTTGAAGTGAATTGGCCTTATTTTAAAAAACCAAGGATGGTTGGTAAAGGACTACTGAGTCAGTGGGTAAGTGTCACATTTGGGGTACTGGTCTTATACAGCGAATAGAGCTCAAAAGCTACTTTTTAAATGGAAATTTAGGGGGGCCGTCTTATGCACCCCGACGCCTTATAGGCCGAGATATATGGTAAGTGTTCTCCCATATAAGTGCACTAAGACACTTTCCTTAGTGTAGAAGAGAAGGTACAATACACTCTCAACTGAACTCAGTACCTGTGAAACTATATTTTTCTACAATAAAATAAAACCAATAAAGTGTTTACTTCAGCCCTGCCACTTATCAAATCAAGAACTAATATATATACAAATATAAGTATATATTGTGTGACCAACACAATGTTACCGTAATCGCTTTTCGAATGGTTTTCAGTTAAAAGAACTGTTGTATTACAATAATATTCCATCCTAATTGACTTGAATAAATACTTGAATGGAAATATACAATATTTTTGCTAAAACTACCAGCGTTTCAGTGTAAAGTGTCGTAATAAAGGTAAACAATTTGCCTTCGGCGCTCGGTATTTCAGGCACGGCGATCCTCAGTTTATAGGACGTAGTGTTTTTAGTGAAGGTTTTGCTGTTCCATTACCCTCAAAAACTTGGGTCGACCTATAAACAAGGCATATCATAAATTAATGATTTCTTGGTAAAAAAAATCAGGGTCGACCTATAAACGAGGTAGAATTATAGACGAGTATATACGGTACCTAGGTATAAGCTAGGCGTCACATTCTTGACTATATGACAAAAACTTTTTTTTATAAAAATGGGTTTTTGGGATTGTGGGGGCTGAATAAGGTGGAAACTTACAAATTTGCTTTATGACATGTTAAACTGGGATTGATGGTGATCTCTTAAACAGTTTCCCCAGTTTTTGGTTCAACAGTTGAGAGTACCAGACTTATATAAGCTTTCAGTCAAAATAAATGTACTGTACAGTATAGTCTCGATTAACGCGGATTTGGTTTACGCATTTGCCAGACCGACAATTTTTATTTACACGGTTCATTCCATCATTTACTCAGGAAGCAGCACGGGCAGGGTGCGCACAAGGTGGCCCAGCTGAAGATATTTGTTTTTAGATCATAAAATTCATAAATTACCCGGCCAGAATAAAATTTACATTGCTGGAATTGTTATAAGATGGTGATTAATTTAAATATAAACAACCTAAAATTTGCATTAGACATACAAATTTTAGATCTAATTTAAGAATTTTATTAGAGAGAGCAAAAATTTGATCTTTTGTGCAAAATATATGACATTTATATTCATATTATTTGCAGTCTTGCAAGGAATCCAGCAATGTCAATTAAATTATCCTAACCATAGTGTGAGGTATTATTTATTATTTAACCTAAAAACCTAGTGTTTTCACCCAAACATTTCTCAGGAAGGGAGGAGAGCCAGCGAGCGTGGGAAGAGGGGGGAGGGCGCGAGTCGAGTCCATTATTTGAATGGACATTAACCGGCGAATGTATTTCTCTTAAATATTAATTGTGTTTGCATACCATCATAAAATTAAGATGTTATTTTTACTACAACGTACGAATTGCGTCGGAAAAAGTGTAGTTTGGGGGTCGGCCCAGTCTCTACTTCAATTAGTCCCATATATTCTGCTATTTCGTTTACGCGTTTCTCGTTTTACGAGGACCTGCACGGGTTCAATTGACAGCGTAAATGAAGACTATACTGTACATACTTTAACACAAACACAAAAAAAAAGAGCTCACCAATGTATGCAGTATTATCTGTCACCATATACTTGTTGTGGTTGACTCGGGCAAAGGGAATTTCTTGCTGTTCTTCTGTATATGCTGGGACCACAAACAAGCGCTGTAAAAAAAAAAAAAGGCATAAGGTAATTATTACCTTATTTTACAAGGTACTTCCTTACCTTACAGTTTGCTTCCCATGATTGAGCACACAACATGCTAAGCATCTTCCAGCCTTCCTATATTCTCTAGTCAACTATGAACATAGTTTCTGCAAGAATTCATTCCTGTTGGCTTATCTTAATTACAAAAAGAACACCAAAACAGTTCAGAGATCAGAGCGGCCACACGAGCATTGCTGATACAGCAGTAACGTGTGTATCTCTCACCAATATGTTCAAGGTTCAAGTCCTGCTTTTCCTTGACATACATGAGAAGGGTGTTATCCAGTGTGACCTTACCAAACATCACTGGTTTCCTAGCCTCCTGTTTCCTCCTGTACAAACACTGGATAGACCAACTGCCAAATGGCTAGTAAGCTGACAAGTGGCAGAAATGATATGTGACTGGACCGGTGGAAATATAAGAGCAGTGAAATACAGATATAAATAAATCAAATTCAAGATGTGAATAATGCTGCAGATCAACAAAGAAAATTTTGAAATGGATATAGTCTACCTGTATGTCTGTTCCGGTTACCTGTCTGGCATATATCTATAAACTTTACCCAAAAAAAAAATATTGCGGAAAATGTAGTGTTACGACCCACATCCTTTCACCGCTTACCCAGCTTCCACCACTGATTACCAGAGGCCAGGGCCGTATGTACAGAAGCAGTAGATATCTCGCAACTGTCGTCAAATTATTCCTGGCTGGCCCGCCAGTCTTCGGTAATTTCTCGACGATCGGCATCAGTGTACAGACAAACAACAGGCAGGTAGATTTCCACCAGGTCACAGAAACACACTTGTGCACTGTAGTCTGCTTTAATAAGCAACGATTCTTTACAACTGGACTTCTCACTTCAAATATATAGTTGGCACACTACCAGTGTACAATTCCTTAGTCTTTTCACTTGATATTGTTGACAACAATTACACAATACTTGCACAACAATTATCTCCAGTTGTTCTACAATGTTAGTTGTCCTTTACACTCCAAGAAGAAACCGTTGACTGACTCAACTAGGCAGCCCGCTGCCACTTATATTCCTCAACAGACACATCTCAAACAGCCGAGTACCACCCAGGCGTCTACATTCTACTCTTATCGAGGCTTACAATAATAAGTACAGTGCATCCTCGTATAATGTCATCCTGCTTAACTTTGTTTCGGTACAACCTCGCTAAACTTTAGAGACCAAAAATTTGTTTTAAAGTCCAGGTGATCCGTTACTTTGTCGTTTTGCGTGGTCTTGGACTACTTTCTACGGCGCATCACCGGCTCTTGTCTGGCTGCGCTACGCTCTCTTGGCTCGGCCAGCTGCCCTCACTCGCGGAAAGTCTCAGCATCCCCAAGTGACGCCAAGCCAGTCTCTGTTACGACTTCACATCATTCGTGTGTGCTTAAGTTCTTTTGCTCTAAAACTGTACTCCAACCATTCAAAATCGTGTCCAAGCACTCATCAAATGCTACAGAGGCTAGTGTAGTGAAGAGGCAACGTAAGACCATTACCCTTGCTATGAAAATGGATGTATTAACCCAATTTGAAAAAGGGGAACGTGCTGTGGACATAGCCGCTGTGCTTGGTCTAACCCCCACAACAGTGCATACTATCCGGACCAACGCTGACAAGATTAAGGTTAGCGCTGGAAGTGCAACTAAGACAACTCTTACTAGAAGTAGTGTGATAGAAAAGGTGGAAAAGATGCTGGCAATGTGGATGGAGAACCAGAATCAATGCAATACCCCTGTAAGCCTTATGGTTATCCAGCATAAGGCCAGATCCTTGTTTGACGACTTAAAGGCAGAAGAGGGTGAAGGATCAAAGGAAGAAACCTTTACTGCCAGTCGAGGATGGTTTCAACGATTTAAGCGTTGTTATAACTTCCACAATATTAAGAAGACTGGTGAACCTGCTAGTTCAGATACGGTTGCTGCCGAGAAATTCTCGCCAGAATTCAAACGGATTATCCAGGAAGGAGGATACTCATCGAAGCAAGTCTTCAATGTGGATGAGATTGGTCTCTTTTGGAAGAGGATGCCTGAGAGGACCTATATCTCCAAGGAGGAGAAAAGAGCGTCAGGTTTTAAAGTGGTAAAAGACCGCTTGACGCTGCTCCTTGGCGTGAATGCTGCCAGCGACTTCAAGCTGAAGCCGATGTTGATTTCTCTCGCTGCCAAACCACGGGCCCTGAAAGGTTACTCTAAGGATCACCTTCCTGTGATCTACAAGGCAAATAAGAAGGCCTGGACAACTAGCGCCATATTTAGCCAGTGGTTAAACGTGTACGCCGTCCCTGCAAGGAAGGAATAATGTGTCAAGGAGAACCTTGACTTCAAAATTCTTTTCATAGTTGACAATGCTCCAGCTCATCCTCCCAATCTCGATGACTTGCATGACAGTGTAAAGATTGTATTTCTGCCTCCCAACACTACAGCACTGATGCAGCCTATGGACTAAGGCGTCATTACCACATTCAAGGCGTATTATTTATGCCATACCATGGCCCAGCTGCTCAAGACTACAGACGGAGAAAATAAACCTACGATCCGAGAATGTTGGCGCAGCTTCAACATTCTTCATGCAATTGACAACATTAGCAAGGCATGGGAAGAGGTTTCAGAAAGTTGCCTGAATGGTGTGTGGGTAAACTGTGGCCCAAGTGTGTCAACAGTTTTACGGGATTCACGGACTAATTCCCTGCTGTGAATAGGGATATCCTCAGCTTGGCTAGACAGGCAGGGTTTGATGAGTTGGAATCAGAGGATATTGAGGGTGTCCAGGCATCCAATACAGAAGAGCTCACCAACGAAGATCTGCAACAACTAACAGAACCCAGTCCCGTTGAAAACGACAACGACGAAGAAGAACCTCAACGAACGCTAATTTCCAAGAGGATGGCAGAATCATTCAACATGTTTCAGCAAGCAACGCAAATCCTTATAGATGACGACCCAAACAGAGAACGTAGTTCAACGCAGCATTGATGACAGTCTTGGTTGTTACACTGAGATCTATAAGAAGAAGAAGAAGAGTAGCACCAAGCAGTCAACACTGGATTAATTTTTTCATTGCGAGATGGCAGAAGCAGTTTCTTCATAACAACCGGCAGTCGAGGAGGAGCAAACAACAACAGAGGAGCAAACAGTGGCTGAGGAACCCCAGTCAGAACAGGAGGCAGCTGCAGAGTCTCAGTGACTCTTCACCCTCCTCCTCACCTGCCCTCCTCTGCTCCCACCCTCCTCCTCCGCTCCCGCCATACTCCTCCCCTCCCGCCATCCTCCTCCTTCGATCCACTACCCACCACACACTCGCTCTTCCTCCACCCATTGGTGAATACCAATACAAACTTAATACAGTACTGTACTATACTATTTTCTATAGAAATGGCAATGATTTTCTGTATACTTAATGTTTTTCATGGGGCAAAGGGAGGCTCAGGAACCTAACTCCCGTATTTCATCTTTCTTATGGGGAAAAACGATCGACTTAACGCTGTTTCGTATAACGTCGCATTTTCAGGAACGTAACCCCGATGTTAAGCGAGGTCTTACTTTAAATCATAAAAAAAAAAAGATGCAATACATTTTAGAATATTCTTACTTAAGTAATACAACCATATATACAAGAAAATGTCCCTAAATTGCCAAAATAACTGCTGCTTGGGAAAGAAAATAATTAAAACACTGAGTTTACAAACAATACCAAATTATACCTAAGCATTACACTATCCCCTCCCTAATTCTTGTGTCGTCCAGACACAAACTATTCACTATTTACATAATAATCCTGAAACTTTGTTGGTCTCCTCTTCTTCCAATGTTGCCACCAAGTACTGTACTGAGATATCTTCAGAGTCCTCCCTTAGCACAGCAACCTCGGCCACATCCTCAGATCGGTCCCCCTCTCCTATTACTTCCAATTCTACTAAGAGGGAACAGTGCTCCTCTTCCATGTCCATGGTCGGGTTCTCTGGGTGGGTACGGCCCTGAATTCTTCCAGGATCTTTGGTCTGGTCCTCATCGGTGGTTGGTGACTGCTCCTCAGAGTCTTCCCAGGGGTATTGCCCTGGCCCATGATACTGCCAAAGACATTTGACGTGGACTACCTTTGGCTGAATCTTCCTGCTTCCCCTAATCTGGTAAGTCACAAGTGAAAGGTGTTCCACTACAGTGTATGGTCCTTCCCATGGGCTCTGCAGCTTCGGTGACCGACCCTTCTTCCGTAGAGGATTATACAGCCAGACTTATCACTATCCTTGTAACAGACCTGGCTTGCTTTGACATCATGGTTGCGCTTCATCACTTCACATGAGAATTCCAGAGCTCCTCAAACCTGGTGGTGGACATCCATCAATCTTTCTTGGAGGCTTTTGACATAATGGTGGTTTCTTCAGGAAGTTATTCATAAGGTGGTCTTCCTGTCAACAGGTTCACTAGCAGCCGCACTTCGTGACTCAGCATCAGTTTTGCCGATGTGTATCCAGTTGACTTGTGGGCAACCGACCTATATACCATCAGTAGAGCAGGCACCTTCTGGTCCAATTCTCTCTGCCCTTAAACACAGTACTTGGCCAGTTCTTGTCCCATGGTCCAATTAAACTTTTCTTCCATTCTGTCTGACTGTGGCTGAAGTGGAGTAGTCCTAGTCTTCCTTAAGCCCAACAGTTTACAACACTCGCTGAACACAGCTGACTCAAAGTTTCTGCCCTGGTCCGAGTGCAACTTGTAGGGCACACCAAACCGGCAGAAGAACTGGTCAACCAGCAAGCACCCTGGCAACAGTTGTGGCTTCCTGATTTGGGATGTCATAAGATTCTGGCCACTTAGTGAAGTAATCCATGGCCACACAGATGTACCTATTCCCATCTGCAATGAGCGGCAGAGGTCCTGCAATATCCACAGTGACCCTCTCCAATGGTGCACCTGCATGGTATAACTGCAGTGGGGCACGCATGT